CCCAGTGCACATGCTCACAAGCTGAGCTCACCAACTCCATGTGGGGCAGTGGTGACAAGTGTAGGAATGAACACAAACCTGTCGTAACCTAGGCTGGAAAGCCTGTCCAACACAGTGGCACTGGGAGGCCGTTGCAGGTAAGCAGACAAAGCCAGAGTTCCCCCACAGGAATGCAGACCCCCAAGACTACCCTCTTGCTCTGTTGGCCCAGCTGCTGCTGGCCATATTAGGCAGAGTGGTACTTGACGTGCCCCAGGCAGCTCGGGAGAGCCCAGCTCTGAGGGCAGTGGTGGGTGATTTCAGAGGTCGGGAATGTCAGATAGGCTTATCTACACCAGGAGACAGCAGCCTTGCCTGCCAGCTTGCCCCTCCCTCCCTCCCTCCCTACCTCCTGCTGTGCTGAGTTTAGGACTCCAGAGCCACTGGCGTCATGCTAGCGCCCCCCCACCCCCGACCCCGCTGGGGAGCCCCTGCAGAGGCAGAGGTCATGGTGGGCAAGGGTCATGGTGAGGAACAAAAGGTAAGCGGTGACCCTGCTGGATGCAAAAAATACAGACATTTCCTCCTCCCAAGATAACCCAACAGTCTACATGTTAGAGGCGGGCCCCATTCCTGCTGGTGACAAGAGTCCATGAGTCATTTCCTGCACACATGTTTTTATGATGTACAAATGCCTTCTGGTCTTCATTGGGTTATCTGCGATCACTGAGCAACCCCATGGAGGGTGGTAGAAAGAACCCTGGATAGGGAATCTGATCATCCTGAGTGGGCCCCAGGTCCTCTGTTTGACTACGAGACCCTCTCTACACAGCCTGGCCCCAGGAGGCTTTTCTTTCCGGGTCTCCTCCTGCATACTTCTATTCTGCTGTCCCTGGATCTCACCCTCTCCCCACTCCTCTCTCCCCACCCACATCTTCATTACTCTTACACAGCAACACACTCTTCCTGGAATATAGTTGTCCACCTTGTGTGCCCTCTGCTCAGCAAGGCAAACTTCTTCTCATATGCCAAGCTCCAAATCATACCTTCTCTTCCAGGAAGGATTCCCAGACTGCTCCATTCAGACTCAGTCATTGCTTTTCTCTACTTCTGCAGAACAGAGGATGCAATTATCTCATACACTTAGGATATTAATGAAAACAATGGCTCAGCATTTGCTGATCGCTTATGATGTACCAGGCAGTGTTCTAAATATGTGACAAAGATTGCCTTAGTTAGTGCTCACAGCAACTCTGTGAAAGAGAGACCATTACCATCTTCATTTTACAGAGATACTGAGGATCAGCGATTTAGGTAGCCTGCCCAAGGCCACAGAGTTAGTTTGTGGCTGACTGATACCTAGGCAAGTGCCTGGCACACAGAAGCTGCTCAATAACCATTCACTTCATGAATGGCTAAATAAGTTAATAAATACAGAAATAATGTTTCTGTCTCCCGAGAAGTGGCTCAGAGCCACTTCTCATGTCAGGTGCCTAATAAGGCCCAGAGCACTAGAAACACCTGCTGAATGAATGAACAAAAGAATATTGGAGCAAACCCATCAATAGAGTTCAAATCCTGACAAAGCCACCTGTTAGCTTCAGATCAACAGCTTCAGGTCCCTGGGTCCCTCTATGTCACTTGTCAAATGGAAAGATGATACACAACATCCTCCCAACTTCCTCCTGACATTAGGTACATATAAAATAAATGTAAGGCTTCATGATTTTGTGATGATGGCAATTCCCATATCAAATGTTGTATTGTTTTGTTTGGTTTTTCTTCTGGGCTGTTTTCCCCCAGGAACATTACACAATTAGATGGGACATTTGATCAGTGTACTACCCTGACACAGAGCCAATATTAGTCCTTAAAGAGTTAATTTGGCTTGATTCTCGGTTCACTCTAGCCTTAGCAAAACAGGTCACACCCAAGGAAAGAATTACTAAGTGCCTGACAAAACCCGCGTAACTAATCAATAATGAACCATGGTCCCAAGTTAGATTATGCAGCTAACACCTAAGCCACTGCTCTAGGGACACTGCAGGTCTCTCCCTCTATTCCCTGGCACCCGCCAGAGGCTTCCTTCTCCAAACAGATGCTGGTCAATCTCCCCCAACCACCACCGCCAATATACCTGCATACACGCATATATACATACACACACACTCACACTCACTCACTGCTGGTGTGACGACAGCAGCACAGTGCTCAGCACATGGAAAGCTACTGATAAAAGATTGTGAAATGCTAAAGCCCAGCTCCACTTCAGGTGGTGCTGAGATGTCCACAACAATGGAAAGATGAGGGTTCTGGCTGAATTCCATTTACTTCTACTCTAACTGTGGCTAACCATGGGCTTGGCTATGGGCCTGAGACCAGATTCCCCCCGACCATGCTATAGGTCTTAGCATTCATGCTCATCCACGTGCATGCTAATACCCAACATTTCTTGTTTGGCTAAAGCTCAGCAACACCTACTACACCCAAGGATACCTAAAGGAGGTGTGTGAGTGAGACAGTGTCTGTTCATGTTAGAAGAGAGGGAGGAGCCACGTTCTGTGTTTTGTTTGACTCACAGCAAGGACTACAAGCTCTAGGCTCCCCAAGCCAAATATTAACTATCCACATGAATCCAATATGGACAGAGACTATATGATAACCAGAGTGCACATAAATAGTCCCTAAAGAGGACACCTGTTATTTCTCCATCTCACGCCTCTGCGATCTTGGGAAACTGCTCCTCCCTCATGTCAATCATGCGATGCTTGAAAGGGCTGCCAAAGGCACTAGTCAGGTCTCCTGGTTTGGGCACAATAATTGGTCCAGAGACTGGCCAATCAGAATCCTTCCCTGAGATTTTAATTCAATATTGAGCAGGAGGAGAGTGAGTCTAGCCTTTGGGTCACAGAGCTATAAAGATATGAACTAGAGGCCACCAACATGGAGAGTATCTGTTCACAGGAGGGAAGAATGGAGCCAACATAGAGCAAAATGTCCAAGACATAGATGGAAGGAGACAGGCTGGGAAAGACTGTCCAGACCTTCCTGTTTACACAAGTTAATGATTCCCTTTTTTGTTTAGCTTTGAGCTGGGTTTCTGAAGTGTGCATCTCAAGTGATCTTACACAGTCCAAGCCATACTTAGAGCACATTTTCAAATGTGTTCCACGCTCCGGGATCTATGTAGTTTTTAGGAGATGGGCTACCACACATGTGAAAGGTCTTTGTTCCTCCTCCCACAAGGCATAAAATTCCTGAGCAAGATGCACTCTCAGTTCTGCATCACTAACCACAGATGTTAGTGCCGTCCCTTTGTATCTCAGGCACTAGTGGTGATGTGCTGACCACAAGAGTCCACAAGGACTCTTCTATCTCCATCAAAGCTTGTAAAATAAGGGTGGCCAGACAAGCAAGACAAATGACCAACAGGTGATTTTTGAAAAAAAGCACATCTTCCTGGTGCTCAAGCCTCCATCCAACCCCCACGCGGGCTCACTCCCTCGGCAGATCTGTCTTCGGATCCCTGGATCACCGAGAGAGAGCCCTCTCAAAAGCCAGATACTGTGCGTGCATGAGCCATGGCACTTCCTCATAGAATAAGGTCTCTGAAAACCTTCCTGAGAAAACATCTCACAGCCTGGCCACCTACTTCCATGGGACCTTTTCAAAAGAAAGCCGCCACATGCTGTTACTGAAGAGGGTGGTGCTTTGAAAACAAACAGCACACCCCCTCTCCAAGTCTGAAGAGCTTCCCAGTGATCCAGCCACCGGGAAGTTACAGCAGCTAGGTGGGGGTCACACTCCTTTCTCTCCTTTCTCTTTAATACTTCCGTCTCCGCTCTGAAGGGCTAACCCCCTTGGCAGGTTATGGGCAGGCACTGCCTGGACGGCTGGAGCTCCAGGCTCAAGTTCTGGCCTGGTGGAATTCTCTTCTATGCCCCATAAAGTCTGCGTGCCCCGGGGCTTGGAGGAGCTTTGGCAGCTGTCCCCCAGGGGCAAGGGAAAGCGGCTGTATCCCACGGTATCCCACAGTACACTTAACAGCTCCTCATCACCAAAACAAAAACACAACAGTCCTGATCGCCATGGAGAGTTCAATCCCCTTCTCTGGGATTGGCACCAACTAAAATTCCAAGGGCTCTGGCTGAGCTACCTCCTGTGAGGTCTAAATACAGCACGCTCACTTTTAACCTAAACATACAGTCTGGACCACGGCCCAGGGCTGACAGCCCCCAGGGGCCAGCAGGAAAGTCTTGACTTCCGGCTGCCCATTAGGCAATGGGCATCGCAGAGAGAGAAGAGATGTCATGCGCTGCTTACTTAGGCCATGTTCATCAAAGTAGCCTATGGTCAAACAGTTGGGGGTGGGGGAGTAATCAGCCTGTGGGGGGTTAACTGCAAGCGTGACCCGAGCACAGAAATGTACCCTGGGGAAGAGGGTGGGGGGAAGAAGGGGGAGAGAGGGAGGAAAAGGCAGTAAGGACCAAAGACCTATTTCTTAGCCAATAAAAGTCAAGGGATCTTTCTACAATAGTGGCTCCCAAGGGAACAGAATTTAGGGCATAAGCTCTAGAATCAGACAGACCAAGGCTGCCTCCTTGGTGTGTGATCTTGGGCAAGATAACTGACTTCTCAGTTTCCAGAGCTCTCAAATGGCCCAAAGGACCATGGTGGTGTTCACTGAGACCATGCTTACAAAGTGCCCGGTGTGCACTAGAGCAACTAGCTACTAGAAGTAGTAGCAGTAATAGTAGGAGGATAAAGACGAGCATGCCTTTCTTCTCTCTGCCATGGAGAGGACACAGGGAGAGTAGCTAAGGCCACCACAGTAGGGCAGAAGGTCCCACACAGGACATGCTGTGCTCGTACAAACAAAGGAAACCTTTAATCAAGCAAAATGCTCACACACCCCCACACCTATTAAGAACCTCAGATCAGCAGAATGGCAAGAGCTGCCTCACTTCCCAAGCCAACCCGCACACCCCACATGGGTAAGAAATCCCAGGGTTTTCCCTTACCTTGGTGTTCATACAGGACCTCCCTCGCTTGTACTCCTTGTGAGATCCACGCTTGTCCAGTTTGTACCACAGGGCTTTGGCCTTCCAGGTGGTCACCTTGGACTTGAGCTTGGAATAAAAGTTCCTGTGGTCCAGAGGGTCTAGGTCCAGGTGTCGTGTGAGGATGTTGAAGGCCTGGAGGGTGCCTTTGCACGTGGAAGCCTGGACAAAGTTCTCGAAAACCTGCCCGGCCTGGCTCTGCTTCTCATCTTCGTTTTCCCCCATGTTTCAGGAGCTGTGTGGCGCAGTGGTATGGAGATGTCAGAGGACAACACCATCAAGTATCTGGAGACACGTCACACCTGCAAAGGTAGGTGGAAGCAGAGGTGAGCACCATGGCAACACAGGCAGAGTGCGGGGGGTGGGCGCTGGGAGGGAAAACTAAAATTCCTTTGGGATATTAAGCACACTAAACATAAATACTTAATGCTAAACATAAACCATCTACAGAAAATATACAGTCATCCCTTCTGACCTGGCAATGCTGTCTTGCTAGCAGTCTTTCTCCCCCTCCAATACCCTACTCCTCTCGCGGGCTGTAAAGAACTACAGATTGCTCAAAGCTATGCCTGGGTTGATGTCAGCATTACCTGGTCAATCTCACTATGAGCCATATAGTTCAAGAAATAGGAACTAGTAAAGGGCAAGAGACAAAGCAGAGAAGCACACTAGATTCTGTGAGCACCACTGAAAACCTTTAATTCATGGTGTTGTAAATGAGTTGACTGATATTAGTGTATCTAGCCACGTAACAGCACACAGAGCAAAATATTCAAAGCACGTGCCTCCCTAGATTTCGTGGCCTTCCCACCTATCCTTAAACACCAAACTTGGAAGTCTTCCTCCATTAGTTACCAGAGGGCAGGTCTTTCCCCTATACAGATGACAAATGACAACTTCTCGAAACTTCTCTCTATTCCTTATGTCTGCTGCAAGCACAGCATCCATCTCAGTCAGACAGAGAGACACAGACACACGTGGGTCTCCACCCCATGTACCAAAGGAGTCTGTGCTTTGTGAGCCCAAGCTGTAAGCTATTTGGAACAAGTGCTCAGGCCGATGGAAGGAAAAACGCGATGGGTATTCATTCACAACACGAAAATAGCTTGCCTGGGTTTTGGCCATCGGCCTGTCTCTCTGCACCACTCTAACCTCAGGCATTTCTTAGGAAAGTCATTCAAGTTTCAAAGGAACAAAAATAAGTTAGGGTCGATTTTCCAAAGCAATAGCTATTTTTCCAGAATCCAAAGCTAGTGCAAAAAGACCAGCCTGGAGGAACTAGGGCCGCCCAGCTGTCAGGACGGCTCGAGAGGGTCTGTAAACAAGACGATACAGCATACCAAGCTCCCTCAGACAGAGGCCTGGCAGGAGGAGGTCAGCAAACACAGAGGCAAGGCCCTTGGGCTGGGCGGCTTCCCACTCTCCAGACAGAAACACTATTGTGGGTGCATTTGGATTGTGGGCTGGCCTTACAATATTAAAAGCAGACAATGGTGTTTATTTTCTTCCTTCATCCTTCACTCCTTCATTCGGCAACAATTACTGGAGCCTAGCAAGAGCCATGCATCACTCTAGGTCCTGGGGATGCAGAGACGGGGCCTTGTGAGGAAGACAGGTGTATAGAGAGTTGATTATAAGACAACAGGCAAGCACTTTAAAAAGATGAACATGGTGCATGGAAGCCAGATAAGGAGGGGTCTAACAGAGCCTAGAGGTATCCAGAGGAGCCACAGGGCAGGGGGGGGATGCTCAAATACTACAATTTGAGGAAGAAGGTGACTTTCATTAGGAGACCGGGGAATAGAAGTTCTTAGGCAAAAGAAATGCCACACTGGTGCGAGTCTGGAAAGAGCCAGGACAGCTGCAGAATGACAGCAAGTTGAAGGCGTCTGGAGGTTCCAAACTCACCACAAGGGGTGATGGGTGCTTCCAGGGCAGATTGTGGAGGGGATCTGGCTTCTCCTGTGGGCTGCGGGGTTCAGGAGACAGAGCAGCGGGCCAAGAGGAATCTCTGGGCAGAAGGGGGCGGGATGCATAGGAGAGGGAGGTGGCTGTGAACAGAGCCACCCAGGAGATCCCTTAGAGAGCCCCGGGAGAGAGCAGCGCGCGCGCGCACACACACACACAGGGACGCTAGACGGCCGCCCCGATATATCACCTGCAGGAGCGGCTGGCAGACACCCAGATGCTGTTGGCCAAGGGGGCACCAGCCACAGTATGGGACCCCTCCCCTCCTCTCCTCTGCCCCATGAGCCTCCAGTGTGCCTGGCACTGAGCTCAGCTGAAGGCACATTCTCTGCTCCAGCCAAGTTCCACTCTTAGCCAGGCCTCTGTCCTCCAGGGGCACTGACCTGGCAGCTCTGTTCCCTGCAACTCAGCAAAGTGAACACATGAGGAGAGCTGGGCCTGTGCTTTGCTAGGTGCTGATGAGCCGTGGATTCCCTCCCAGAGGCTCTCTGGGCTCCTTAAATGTCTGCAGTGCTCACTTCGGCATCGCTCACATTACCACTGCCTCCTACTGTTTCGGCTCTCCCCCACGTACAAGACTTGCCACCCAGAGAGCATAAACGGAGAGCAAGACTCGTTCACTTTTCATAGCAAAGGACCATCCTCGGTCTCTATCTTTGGAACCACTGTGTGCCCAGCACCGAACAAAGGATGCAGCTGCTGACGGAGATCCACAATTACTTGAATTCTGTGGCTATCCTGCGGTCATTTCTGGGGACGGGTCGGTGGTGCAGAGAAAGCCACAGGCTTCAGGGCCATTGGAGCCCAAGTCCAAAGCTCAGTTTGGCCCCTGGTTGCCCTCACGGCCTCACACGAGTCCAGACGCTCTGAACCTCAGTTTCTTCTTTTGTAAAGGACGCGATAATCTCCACCTTGTGGGGTTGCCGGGAAGGGCGAGAGAGGTGTGTGATGGCAGAGCCCAGCCCCAGGAGGCTTCTGGCAGAGGTGAAAATGGGTGCTGCATCCCTCACGTGGGGCAGACTTGTGCCTGGGGAATGCACTGGTTTGAGAAATACTTCTGTAAATCAACTCTTCAAGTTGCCAACTCCTCCTTGTCTAAAATGGTGAACTGTTTAGAGGTATCAAGCCAAACCCAGAGAATCATTTACGAACTGGAAGAACCTGTCTCCTTCCAACTCCAGCAGCCACCTCTCCTCCCCCAAAAGGAAAATGAAGGACTTAATCTTACTCCAGTGGAGAGTCAAAGGTGCTGTGGAGGGGGCTGGCTAGGCATGGGGGCTCCAGGAGCTGGCTCTTATCTAGAGGGAGATGGGGGGGCGGAGGGGGGTTTGTACTGGAGAGAGATGGCAGGACAGCAGACAAGCTGCCTTGGACTGTATCCCAGCCCCTTGTACCAGGCTCAGACCTGCCTCCCCGTCTGAAGGGTCTGGTTTCAACTGTAAAATCAGCTTGAATCCAGTTGCAGTTAAAGACCTCAAAAACGACTCTGACACCCATGTGGGGTAGGTTTCCTCCGGAAGAGCCTCAGTGTTTAGAGTCTGCCAGAAAGGGTGTGAATCTGGTCTCACGCACCAGGGAGGCAAGTTATCTAACACATCTCAGCCTGTATCCTCATCGGCAAAACGAGATGATCACACTCGCTTCATGGGGCCGGAAGGAATAAACTCCCTCACAAACGTGACGTATTTAGCACCTGACAGCTACCCGCTAACCAGCAGTCATTACTATCCCTCCAATGGCCCAAACGCCATCAAAGCACAAGGAAGGGACCAGCTGCCCAGGTCAAGGAATTATCTGGACTTTAAAAGTAGAAGCCACAGGCTTTCGACTCAGAAGATGTGGGTTCAAATCTACTTCCTAGTTGTGTACCCTTGGACAGCTCACTTAATTTCTGAGATTTCAGTTCCCTCAAATGTACAGTGAGGAAGAAAGAGGTTTCAAGAACGAACAGAAAACGTCCTTGGTATGAGGTAGTTCTGTTAGTGAGCTAGAAAGGCTGACTTGGAAGGGCTCTGGGAGTCTGAATCTGCGCTCCAAGCCCCTTCTTCCGGAGACTGGAGTGGAATTCTTGCAGTGGATCCTCCTTCTCCTTCCCCAAAAGAAACTCAAAGATTACTTAAAGCAGAGGATCCTGGGTAGTAGCTCTTCTTGTTAAAATTTTCCTTGTCAACCACCACCCAGCTGTTGCTTTTTAGAGTTTGATATGAAATATAAATAAAACCACCCAGAAATATGAAAGGTTTCTGCATTTTCTGGGAAGAAACAAGACGTGATGCTTTAGTTTCCAAGAATAGCCTTGAAGCAATTTGGTTTTTGCCAACTGGAGTCCCTTATTTGTGGTTCTGCCTGTATGACTTTATGAGTCACGAAGCAACCCCCTTTCCCTGCCCCAGGCTGCTACAAATTAAAAACCTCAGGGCCTCCAAACATGAGGAATGGGCTTGGTCCAGGGCATCTGGGAGACAAGTTCAAGATTGATACAGAACCCCTAAGCACTTCTCTCAAATGAGAGAAGGAACCTCCTCCTAGCCAAAGAGCTTCCAGTGTGCTCACATTTAGGAACCCTCCCCATTTTCCCTGGGCCTCTTCACCTGCCAAATGGCATCAAATATGGTAACGAGGTGGTCGATAAATCAGAGTTCTATAAAAACTTGAGGGCCAGAGGGACACCAAGCAGAACCTTCTCCCAAAGCAGCAGTCTGGCCAGGAGAAAAACTCGGCCCTCAACAACACCCTCAAAGTTCAAAGGCAAGGTATGTCTCAAGGTAAACAATCTGAAGATGAATCCCATGGGGTCAGGGGAGGGGTGTGGGCCAAACAGGAGAAGGGGATGAGGAGGTACAGACTTCCAGTTATGAAGTAAGTCACAGAGATGAAAAGGACAGCACAGGGAACAGATTTGGTAATACTGCAATAACCTTGTAAGGTCACAGTACCATGTACACTGGAAACCAATACATCATGACAACTTATACTTCCATTAAAGAAGTAGATCCAATAAGAACTAGACAATAAAAACCAGACCGCCTTGCCACAGACATTGCCAAGCTCCCCATTCAAACATACCTTCTTCCAAGTATCCCGCCAATGAGCCCCCAGGCAGGGCCAGTTTCCTACACAATGAAACAAGGCTGCTCACCCCTCCAAGCACTCCCAGGGTGGTCAGGAGAACTAGAAGGCCCAGCTCTGAGCCGCACACACAGAAGACCCTCATTCATAGCAACTGGGACCCGACACCTGAGTGAGGCAAGAGACAGCCAGGGAAATGCCTTCCACATACACCGCATCTCCACAGAGCCCAGGACCACAGGCGATGCCTGCAGGCCTCATCTTC